ACCCGCCAGGATTACTATATCCGTCTATCTTACTGACCGAATCACTTGATAAAACTCGTCCTTCTCAGCCTCGGAACTGCAGTCAGTCGGCGTGTATGTTCATTCGAGAAATAAACACCACATCAACCGGACAACCGCACGGCGTAGAGACAACTTTTTATTGGGGTCCAGTCCCTTAGGTACTCTGAACCTTAGGACTGAGTGCAATTCCCACACTGGAGATACCACGCGCTTTTGTGTCAGGACCAGTAGATACCTGAAGAGTGAAGTGTGGAACATTTGAGCTCGTCCCTACCGGCTTGAGATGCCCAACTGAAATGGGGGTCTTGTGTTCATCTTTCATCCAGTGTTGTCCGGCAACGGTCTCCTCTGTCGCGATTTCTTTTGAAATTCTTGGTTGACAGTATGTTTGAACCTTCTTCAACCTGACTTTCGGTCAGCTGCACCTTTGAATGGAAATACTCTCATGCTCTTCGGTGACGTCGATGATATTGTTCCCGTTGCTTTAGATCCCTTAAAAATGAAAACCATTTCGAATAACCTAGATGACCATGCTGTACATTTTGGCATGCACTTTGTACTCGTAAAGTTGAAAGCGCTATTGCAAGATTGGGTGGCATCAGACACAAACCTGGTGCTGGCATTTGGGCTAATCGGCAGAACTGGATGGAACATCTACACCTGCGGGCCCTCAAAAAACGGAAGCCCAGCGTGAGGTGTCACTTGAACTAGGAAGCTGGACTGCCTTCATATCCGACACTCAATAAAAATTTAAATGGAAACTGATAGCTTGAACGCCCTTAACATCAGTTAACCGCCATATCATCCAGTGTTTCCAACCAAGCACAGGAGGGACACGTTGACCCCATTCTGGAAGGCGAATGACACCAACATCGCGTAACATCCTTCATTCCCTGCTGCCGTGTCGATTTCCCTCCACATCTAGGTTTGTTCCACTTCGATCTAGTCGCGAAAAACAGCACTCCTCTCGAAAGGTGGGAATTTGGCTTGCGTAACACATGACTTGGCTACCTTAGCCTGCATTGCTGGATGTGCTCTTTTAGTGAAGTACCACCGGCTTCACCGAAACCCATCTCCTGGTCACCCCATTGCGGATTCATTGGTTCCAGCCGGCTTTAGCTGCACTTCTGAGATATTGGTGGTCAGAAACCTGAAGACTTTTCGAATTCTCCCACTGAAGTTGCCAAGTCTCTGAGCCGTATACAAAAACAGCTCTCTTTGTAGTCTGGTACACATGTCCTTTAAGACCCAGTGAGATGCTCCTTAGTGCAAGTTGAACGCAATCCTGATTCTCGAGATTCGTGAGTTCGCTTGGTCTGTCACATTACCGTCAGATCTAATCTGACCCTCGAGCTACGTATGACGTTCCACAACCTCCATTGTCATTTCTTGAATTCTCAGAGGCATGGTCGGCGTCCGTCCGGCCTGCGGCATGATTTTGCTATTTGTGGACGTGGGACATGCTGAAGGACTAGATGATCTTGGTCAACTTTTATAACGCTTACGCTTCCTGCTGTTTACAAGTGAGCTTAGAGTCGCTTGTCTCTTTCATGTCGAAAAGATTCTCGCTTCGGCATATATGTGCGCAAGTGTTCTGGACACCTTTCAGTGTTCGTTTCATTATATCACCAACAAAGAAATTGGGCAAAAAATGGAGAGAGTGAACACAATTGCCTGTTGGAGAGCTTTTAGAGAGCTTTCCGTACACTGATACGCCCACAGCTTATGCTGTTAACGGACTTCCGCGCCATACTATAATGAAAAGCGCTATCTGGTCGGCAAAACCGAACGCACCCTTGAGGTCAAGGAACTCGAAAATTGCGTGGCGCCTATGCGCATATCGTTGCTGCAACACCCGATAGAATGTGGAGGTGTGGTCCACGCACCCTCTTCTCGGTTGGAATCCTGTTTGTTATTCTCGGACCATTTCTCCACGCGCCTTCCTAAGACGCCGTGAATTAAGCGACGAAAATGTTTCAAGTAATTTTCCCCTGGTTTCCACACTGCGAGCACCCTTTTTGAAGATGGGCACCACTATCGACTCACCCCGGTTAGCTGGGATGGTATATCTCCCATTTAGAGGCAAATATGCTAGCATCTCCATCTTAGAACAGTGCAGGCCGGAGTTCTTCAGGACAAGCGGCTCGGTGACGCTTGGGGGATAAAAGTTATTCACTTATTTGCGCAGGCCTGGGTTGCTCCAACTTCAGGGGTCCATGTCCAGGGCTGATTTGCCATTTAATGTCCGGAGGCGACCTGCTCTAAATGGTCGAACATCACATCGACTGGATGGATGTGTGGCGAGCCGGTTACTGAGCGAACGGGAGCATCCCTCGATTCGTTTGAATGCCAAAAAAGGCTGTCTTGAGCTACCATGCCTTTTGCTATACCATGTTGGGTCGCACCCTGTCTGCGGAATACAACAGTTGGGTGTCCGACTGAGCAATTGCAAGTGGACAGTTGAATTGGTCTTGGTAGTGTTCAACCCAACGTTCTAGACACTCTTCTCTTTTCACTGATAAGCGGGCTTTTGTCAGTGGTTCTTGCGCTCACTGGAGGCTTATTTGGGCTTGTTTAGCGTATCAGCGGTAGCAACTTACGCATGCTCCCAGAGTTTATCGGTTTCTCCATCTCTTCAGCTTTCAGGACCCATCAAACTTCTCTATCCGCGCAGCACGTCACGAAGAGACGACCTTATCGTGGTATGGCGGTTTGTGTACCTCGGCGACCCATTGAGCTATACTGGGGGGTGTCCGCGCGACACTCACAGAGTCTCTCATACCAGGTTGGTCAATGGTTAGAGGTCTGACAAACACAGTCTCCTGGCCCTCCAGGTTGGGGGTTGGAACATGTATGGCGACTTGTTCCGTAGAAATGGTAATGCATTTGCATTTCCCCGCCAAACACCGCTGCCTTGCGGTTAGGCTTTTGAGCCAAAGGCTTTGGTTGAGGACCCTAATCGTCCTCCTGTCTAGGTGTGGGCGCCCTGGCAGTATCCCAGTCCTCGTACAAAATACGGCAGTGAAGCATCAGTGCCAACACTGATGTTGCTGTCATTGATGATGATGATGATGATGATGCACGTCAAGGGCAGTGTACTGTCGACCAGGAGAAATGCGTTTGTTTATTTAAGATAGATCAGGAGTTACGGCAGCTGTTGATGCGGCATGGATGTGATGTGTGGAGCAGGACTCAGTACTGAATGGTTCGAGTTCTATTGGCATTCTTAGACCATTGGTAATCACACCGTTGAACATGAGTCATCCCGACATTAAGGGACGAGATGGTATAAGTGGTAAGAGCGCGAATTTACTGACCAGAAGGTCCGTGGTTCGAATCCGACCTCTGCCTCTCGACTTCTCCTGTCTAGGCTTGGGCAACCTGACAGTGCCCCAGCCCTCGTGCAACCTTCGGGTGGCATGGCAGCTAGGCACCGGAGGGGTGTCACAGCTGAACGATTTATTATTTATATTTATATCCTGACATTATTCCAATCCCGCCTGTTTAAATTCACTGCAAGGTCAATGATTTTCGAGCTAAAAACATTTGGCATGGCTACTTAACTTGCGACTTCTATGTATTCTTTCACGCGTTCTGTTCCTATCTACTCCAGCCCGTCTTCACACCAACTTTCCTCCGCTTGTTGGAAAGCTTCCTGTTTATTTCTGGTTGATGTACGACCTACTTGATAAATGTCGGAACTAAGTCGGTCCGAGAAGCTTGCTGCTGCTCAGCTGAAAGTAAGTTCACATCATTTGGCTGGTTATATCCATTTTGCTGTATCAACAGTCTCCCGTAGAATGACAATTTTTGGTCGATTCCACCGTAACTCTTGAAGAATGAATCCTCACCTTCCGAGTAGCAACAGGGAATTTGCCTTCACGTCACATTCCACACCGTCTCCTCATTTATTGGTTGTTTCAGAAGCACGGTCAGATGTGCTTCCTACGCAGCGTCCATCTACTCTGGACTAACGGTTTTTTCAGTCCTGTTAATATTTAATGTGGGAGAACGTTACTTTTATACGTAAAGTTGGTTGTTTCACATCAGTCTGCTACTGCTAGCCATTGACCACACGATTTTGATGCAACCAAAGGTGCTCGTCGATGTCATCATAATAAGGCAGTGAAACACCAGTGTTCCCTTCTGGTGTTGTCATCACGAAGGTGACGGGCAAAGCTTGTTCTCTGAGGTTGCTTATCTTGATCAGTACATCACAGCTGTTTGCGAGCCAAGACAGAATTGGCTCACATCCCTAGGTACAGTCACGGTACGACTTCAAAAGGACGACGAAGGGTGTACACATCAATGGGCCACGTCACACTCAAACTAAGCCACTGGAAACTCAGTATTCGCACAGGTTTCCCTCAAACTTGGAGCTCTGTGTTGCATGGTCTAATTCCGATGGCCCCTGCAATCGATCGCTGTCCATAGCTACCCGGCATATGGTGTGAAAGGTGCGTTCATTTTCCGTGACTTGGGCGCTTCCTGCCAAATGCAATGTGATTCCTTCCAACTGTCCCTCAGATAAACGACTGTCTGATCAACATCTTATCGTGGACAAATGTTTGGTACTCGACAAGAACATACGATAAGGTGTACACAAAAGCTGGTACCAGAGTTCGGCAGTTTGGTTCCTAGGTCGATTCTGGTTGTATGGACAAGATCGTTACTAACTATAGCTCAACGGTGAATCCTGTTTCATTTTTAAAGCAACTATTGCTACTTTGAACCTACAACATTCAGTTCACTTTTAATAGTGAAATCTGTCGCCAAAAGAATCTGATTGTGATGGGATCTTAGGGTCTACTTGTGGCAAGTCACTTCGTGAGTGGACTTCAGACTCAATGTGAGTTGGGCAATTTCCGCCGCAGGTTTACAACGCTGACAGTATATTTTTTAAACTTTCAAACGGTAACTTCAGCCCTACCGATGTCTCAAAAAATTCGTCTTGGTTCATCCTAATATAAAGTTGACTTCTGAACAGTCAGCTGAGTTTTCTTCGTGTCAGTATCCTGAGTGAGACCACTGGAACAACGCTGCGAGGCGTTCACAAAAGCCACACTGACTGAACGGCATATTCGCTTTGATGGTTTCCTAATGCCATAACAAAGGTGGGATTTAATCAGGTGCTTGACTGAGGAGCCAATACTTATGGGACATGGCATGAAGAGAACTAAAATCCCTGGGATACCTTTTTTCCAGAGTGGGCACCCCGAGCGATATACTGCATTGACAAGACGTATTTGGCCGCTACCCTACCTGAATCTCACTCCAACACAGTGAAATGCACCATTTGACTTGGTCATGATCGGTATTCACAGGATAGGCGATCGTCACTGACTAATCTGTAACATTGGTTTTTGATAGTGATCTGAGTGTTTCGGGTTTGTGGATGGCTCATTGTTAGAAGTTCGCATTGCGAAACATGGATACACATGGACTCTCATTACCTGGGTATATTAAATGTGGTCAAATCGGACTTGCAATTGAACACCAGACACGCTCAATTTTATCATCCTCCTCATCACCGACGCAGCAAGTCAGGCCTCCGTAACACTAGATCAAACATATGCACACATGGGCGAGATGGCCCAAGTGGTTAAGAGCGCGAATTCACTGACCGGAAGGTCCGTGTTTTGAACCCGACCTCTGCCCCTCGACTTCCCCTGTCTAGGCTTGGGCAACCTGACAGTATCCCAGCCCTTATGCAACGTTCGGGCGGCATGGCAGTTAGGCACTGAAAGAGTGCTACAGCTGAACGATTTTTTCATCATCATCACCATCATTATCAGCTGTAAGAACCGCGCACTTGTTGTACAGTGGCTATAACTCCCACAGTTTCGTTCACCGATGATTTGGAGAGGTGCGGTAGGTAGCTACGCATTGGAGGCAGGAGCTGATAAATTGGTAAGTACACGGCTGTCAGTGGACCAGTAAGAGGGGGGTTGGAAAGGCAGCTATGCATTGAAGGCAATAGCTCGGATGCACGGGCACCATTCAGGGTACGACTGAGCCATGTCTGACAGTGTCTTCAACCATTTGTGTCCTATTTCGAGTTCTCCATCCAGGGAGACGGCAATGACCAACGTAGCTGAGTTTGCTAGTAATGACTTTCACACTTCGCTGGTAAGTTAGTGTTTGACCTCTGGCACCTAGCGAGGTCTCTGCGGGCTGATGCAGCGACAAAATATGCAAAAAATTTGGGGTGTCAAAATATCTGTCTTCGCTAGGCACCGGAAGGGTGATAGAGCTGAATGATTATTATGATCGGTTTTGGGGGCGAGATGGCCCAAGTGGTTGGAGCCTAAATTTGCTGGCCGGAAGGTCCGATCTCGGCCTCTCGACTTCCCCTGTCTAGGCTTGGGCAACCTGGCAGTATACCAGCCCTCGTGCAATTTTCGGATGGCATGGCAGCTAGGCACCGGAAGGGTGATACAGCTGAATGATTATTATGCTACATTCGTTTGTTTTGCATCCATGATGGATCTTCCTTCGGGAGCCTAAATAGATTCTGATTTTGGCTTTGGTTACTTTTGGGAGGGAAGTCTAACTGTTTCGACGTGGTTCTTTCGTAAACAGAGGGTAGTTTGATGAAGTCTGATCACGACAGCTTCGGCCATGGTAACTAAAGGCTCTTGTACAAATTAGGAGTTGCTTGCAGTCACGCGTTCCTAAGATGCTCAGGTGACCACTGCAGAATCTGCTGTTCCTGTCTGCACAGTGAAATTATTTTGCATCAGATGTTAGTTGCTCGCAAGTCGTGTTTATACACTAGTCAACTGACAATCGTGTTTCAGGCTTATTCACGGTTTGTCCTCGAACGCTTGTATTGCTTCCATTTCAGCTCACAAAATTCCGTGCATCTAAAGGTGGGCGGCGACCAGGCACGGAGAATTCCCACAAGACTGTGGATCCACAGTCGACTGCTGCGGTGAGTTTGATTGATTCGGACGATGTGGTAGTCTATCGATAGTTTCATTAATCTACGCCCAATTTTTCCCGGCCTTGGTGAGATTCGTTTCACATCACTTTCGCTTGACATGTCTCGCGGTTTCCCGGTTAAGTTTACTAGAATTTGACTTCCACTGGATTGGTGATCCGTAACATCCTTTCGGTGCATAACCGCTACACCCACTCTTTCACGGTTACTGCACTCAGTCTGGAGCTAAGCCCTCACGTCACTGGAGATTGGCCAATAGTTCAAAATTGTTCAGCCCAGTTCTGTTCATTAATGGAATCGGTCGGCTTTTATACCACTTTTTAGAGACTGAGCATGCGACCGCCCTGTTTCAATAGACCGTGCCTTAGACTGGCACCACGGCCAAGGAACTTTTTACAATTAGGATTAATCCGTCTTAGGCCCTGATCGGTTCCGCAACTGGACGGTGTGAAAACTTGTGGCTCTTTTCTTGTTATCCATCTACTGGAGCCTACCTAAGAGTGGGTGTGATTGCTTCAGCTGAGGATTACGCGTGCACTGCGTTTGATTTCTATGATACGACATAATCTACCGAGACAGCTTAGTGTGCATGGTACTCCAGCCAGCGCACAAATCGTGACAGTGGTTAGAGTCGAATGCTGAATGAAGTCCATCTACCTGAGGACAGATGTCATCGGTTTCCGTGATGGAACACAGATGAGCAGCATGAAATTCCATGCCCTAGTGAAGCATGTCCTGTACTCATACCGGCGTAACGGTGGATACTACTGATGGGGCATGTAAGTAGCGTCTTCTCATCAATCCGCTTAGCGTCTCTTGAAAGGTGAGATCTATTACGGAATTTGTGGAGTCGCCTTGTAGCATTTGCTTGCATTTGAGTAACAGTCAATGAGTATCCAGGAAAGTTCAGGAAGACGCGTTCAAGGAGAAGATGGATATCCAGTTTTGTAAACAAGATACGTATGAGGGTTTTGCTCCCCTGTCCAATAGTCTGTAGCTGTTCAGTTGGTGTTTCTCTGTGTGACCTGCCGGGCAGGGAACGAATATTCGCCTATGTGGATACCACCGGTTTGAATCATCCTGCTCGAGCTCCATCTTCTTGTGCGGTCCCAGAAGTGGGGCCTGCTGACAATGCGCTTTTTATGCCTGAATATGACCCAGCCCATCTACATCGTTTGTGCAGGTCTAAATAGCTAAACGGAGCGAAGACGGAAATGAAGCAACATCCCAAACCAGGGCACGAAGTGTCAAAACAAGTCGGGCTTCCATAAGACTGGCTTATACCACACCCGGGCCATAGTAGGGGTTGTCTGTCACCTACACAGTATACGTCATCACGTCACTCTTGCTTGTCGCCCCCACAGGTTTCCACAATCCTGACATGCCTTCTTTCATCGCTATTTGGCATTCGGCACACAGACCACCGCGGTCATCTACAGGCTCCACGCACGTCAATTTTGTGATCAATAAAAGCTTGTTAGCATATGAGAACTCTGGCGCCTTGTACCTGAAGCCAGTTAACCGAGAAAATCGGTTTACGCTTGGATACGGTAGTTGTACATGATGGTAGAGTGAGCAGTCGTAGCCCTAAGCGTGAGCGTACGGCTTGAAAAGAGCAATGGGCATATTCAACGCAGCAACAGGTATCAGACTTTCCTCCCAACATCATTGTGAAACACTTTAGGCCAGTATAGATACTTTTTCAAATGTGGACAAACGCTTCTAGTCCTCAATAGACGTATATTTGGTTTTGCGGGATTACATGGGCCCGGGTTGTCTAGTAATGAGACTGACAACCCCTGTTTCGACGTGCCAAAATGGACGCATTCCATTCGGTTGCGCGCCTCTATCTTGCAAGACGCAAGTGAACACTTTAAAGACATAGATACTTTATAAATTCGTGCCATCCGAGCCGTCGTTGCTTGAATGCTGCAGAGGATACCGAAATACCTCCAGAATGATGTCGCTGAGCTTCATTGCTGCTTACTCGGCATGCTCAAGTGTGGTGCTGTTCCAGATCTCTTCGCTTTCTGTCAATGAAACGACTAAAACAAGACGGGGTGGGCGAGATAGCTCAAGTGGTTAGAGCGCGAATTTATTGACCGGAAGGTCCGTGGTTCGGACCCGACCTCCGCCTCTCGACTTCCCCTGTCTAGGCTTGGATAACCTGGCAGTATCCCAGCCCTCGTGCAACCTTCGGGTGGCATGGCAGCTAGGCACCGGAAGGCTGCTACAGCTGAACAATTATAAAAAAACAAGACGGAATGCCTTGGTTAAAGAGAGTCCGAAACAGGAGTGCCACACGATCAGACTCAGCTAGACACCGGAAGGAAGTGGCTGAACTCATACTTCTCCAGAGTTTTGGAACATGCTACTAGAATGCTCAGAAAGCTCATTAGAAACCCCTGAACAGAGTCAGGAAAACAGTTTTAACGGAGTTCTGCCAGTATCTTCAGCGATAACTACAGGTAACTAGGCCTTTTCTCTTATTCCCGCGACGTCACGGTCTCGTTTCGCTTGGATGAAATGTGTCAGTAGGTGTTTGCAAAATCGTCGGCTATTCCGTTAAATCCGTCAGATCGAAACCGTCGGTGATCTAGAGCAGGCAGTATCGTTAGAAAGACAGTGAACGACAGTGAGATCAGTGAGCTTATTTTCTACGGTCCTAACCACATTGATTTCCGTGACACTGATTCCCGCTCTGATCACTGAAAAGCTTAGATTTTTCTTTGTCCTTGGTGTGTTTGCGAGAGAAAACAGACAGGAATTCGTGTGACTCCCCGTTTCGAAGTCGGCTTCAATGACTTATCCATACGAGGTCACTCAGCCAAGTTGATTCCGGTTGTCTAGTTTGTTGTTGCTAGAGTCTGGTATTTCGCGATAATATCCAATGCTATTCGGTCGTGAAACGACCTTGCGAGTGCTCTACGGTTGCTACCAACTAGTTAGACAAGACCCGTTATGATGTGCATGCAGACTCGACAGCGTATCTGTAGGCTTTTAGCCACTACGGTAATGTGGCAATGCTGGGTTTAAGCTGGCCGCTCGTCAGATTGGACTGTTGGATGGTTGCTGGGGTTCAAACAAGACGGGAGCGAATAACAGAAACCCGTCCGGGAAATTCTTTTGTTTTTCATTTTTTTTCCGCCTCAGATCCATTTCCACTCGAACAAATGTGATCTCAATATTGTCGTCTTCGGGAAAAAGAGAGATCAGACTAACGAGGTTGAAGATGGTTTATGTAAAATTTGAAAAAGAACACCTCCAGTTTTTTTAAAATAAAAAATCATGTTCACCTACCTGACAAATTACAGTCAGTGCTTAAGCTTAGTTCTCGATCTGAACCTTCCAAGCTAGCATTCTTGTCAGAAGAACCACCCAAGGTGCACAACGTGTATTAACTCCAAAAATCAGGTTAAAAACGCTTTTGCAGTGCGTCGTGTGCAAACTGTATGCGGTGACAACCTTCTAGAAATTCCTTTGCCTTCTGGATGCGCCCCATTGGTGACAGGTATTTGGCGGACACTGGATCATGTTTGGCTGTTAAGTCCAGACTTTCGGCCACTTAGAGCTTGCCTTCATGCTGGACCGGCAAGGAACCCGAATTTCCGGCCATTTACGAGCGGGTGAGGCTTCTGGGCCATAGCAGCGCATAACTGCGAGCGGTAAAGCGGTTTCGGTGTGGAATTCTGCCTAACACAGTGTCCTAATGGAGCAAAATGTCGGTAGCTCAGGTAGCGTAGATGGTCGTTGGTTTGTTCGCTGAGCTGGGCAATTTGATTGCAAACGTTTCATCACAAATCGAGGTGATATCATCAGTGCGTTATTGGGGAACGTAGTGGTGCGTAGCGGTGGATTAGTGGTTGTGCGTTGAGTAGTGTTAATTGTGTGTTGATATACGTGCTGCTAGCCGGGAATGACCTTTAATCGCGATTAAGTATTCAGTCGGGCGATCCCATGGGTTGCTCTGTTATCCCGTGTCCTCATTCGCCGATGCCCCCGTGACCTTTGAGCTTGGCATCCCCCGCCGTCGTAATAGTGTAACGGTCATAGTCGTCGCACTGTCCTAATATTCAACTTAGTACAAGCGTGGGTAGTGTCGCTGAACATGTTTCCGGTCAACATCAGTGCTTCGACTCGGTAATGGCTTACCCCGTGGTCGTTCAACATTGGCGTCCTTATCTACCTAAATGTGCATCGAAGAAGGTGATTTTCAACATAGGCTTCAGATGCATAATGATGATATTTTCCAGACTGCAAAAATTTGCACCAAAGTTAGCATGTTTACTTCTGAACAAATAGAAGTGCCCATTGTTTCGTTCTTTCTTCCAGGCATACTTCACTTCACCTCCAAATGCTCGCTTATTGGAAAATCGGTAAGCAACCAATTCCGATTTTTCCATGTTCTACCGTGTTCGGGGTCAAGGTATTCACCTGGGATTTTATAGTACCACTTGCCCGACTGTTGATGCGTTTGTTGCCCCATTCCTTTCGAGTGTCCATGGTCTGAACAGGTGCATGCCAATACTTATTTGCCATAACACGGCCCCACGGTTAATCCCTCCATTAAATTTGCCCCCCATCCTGTCCTATCTTGTTCTATCCTATCCTTTTCTATCCTGTTTCTCCCGTCTCCCCAGATCAACCCTTGATTCGTTTGATTCCGGTCCGGTGGATTCGGAAGCGTTACCGGCAATGGTATCTTCAAACGGCGTAAACGATCCACCTGCAGCAAAACCCAGTTCATTGGCGGACTACTTCAGAGCTAATCAGTCATCAACTTCGACCTTGTCGTCACATGATGCCTGTCTGTTTCCATCTCGTTCAGAAGTGGAGTACACTTCAACTGCCAATACAATGGTGACATACTCGTCTGATGAACCGCATCGGAATCAGTGCACTGGTAACAGAAGTGACTCAGGAAAGGAGTTTCCTCCCACGTCGTTTCACCCCGCAACATCTCTGGGCTACGCACTACAACAGTCTTCTTCCAAGCAACTGGGTGTTGTCGACCCGACTGCGGATGAATTAGTGCCTGCTCCATCAACTTCCATGGTCGATGGTGATTTGAATAGCAACAAGGCTGTATATAGTGAATTTGTGGAACCTATTGGAAGTGTGTAAGTGCTCATACTTGGTTGACCGCTTTGATAGGCATCTCCCTCAACACGTTCCCGCAAACCCCGGCAGAGACCACTGCCAGTCTGTGTTTTAGTCCTCTGCACAGTTCAGCCGAGGCCCTCCATCCACGTACCATTCCTTTTCATACGGAAGACTGTGTTTTTAAGTTGCGATCTTTTGGGCGACGGAGTTTTGATGATTGTAGCTCATCCCCTCAAACTTTCAATGAAATTTGATCACTTAAAACCAGAATTGAAAATTCACGATGTCGCCAATACTCTGTGGAAACATTTATAAGATGGATGTCAGACAAACACTGGATGCGTATGGTCGGTTTGGACATGAGGCAGGAAAATTAATTACATCACTATCGTTTTTTTTGTTCAATTCTAATATGTTTCTCTCGAATTGTAGTAGCAGTATTTTTCTCAACTTAATTCTCGTTCTCAGCATCCCAAGCTAGGGTTCGCGTCAAAAACAACCACCAAGGGTTAATATACAAGGTACATTAACGCTCAAAAACGAAGTCAGGAACAGTTGGATAGCGCTACATATATNCCAGACTTTCGGCCAATCAGATCTCTGCTTGATGCCGGACCGGCAAGCGTCCCGAATCCTTAGCCAATCTTGCGTTGGGTGGACTTCTCAGCCGTAGCAGCACCTGAGTGCGAGCGGTAAGGCGGGACCCGTGTGGAATTCCGCCTAACACGAATATTACCAAGTGGACACTGCGCACCATTCGTTGCTTTTTTCAACTAGGCCGCCGGTTTTCATCGTCCTAAGCCATCTGAACGCCGGCATTATTTGGATATGTTATGAAATACGTCAAAATTAGGTTGTTCACTTGAGGCTGTTGATTGGGCTTCACTCAAATCCCATGTCTGTCGGATGAAGAAGCTTTGCTGTTCCTGCGTTACTGGGGTATATTGTGTAGGCTTGAAAGTTCCTGTGACGTGCAACTGTGTGGGCAGTTGTTGCCATGCGCAGAGCACTTGAATTTTACGGCTACCTGGCTATTGAATAGTAGGTTAGGTGCACATGACCACGCGTAGAGCAAATAGATCTTCAATGAACGTGGAGCTTCGCTGATTCGGAACTGAGGTGCGGGACATATCGACTTAAATCAACCGAATTCAACATGTTCGTTGGTCTGGAAAAACCAACCCAGGCGTACATAACATATAGGAGTTTTTAAGTGGGGAAGTGCTTTGTTTCCCATTTTAGTGGAAATGACTCGTGGTGGGTACAGCGCGTTTGTGTTTTGGTGAGAAACACAGTGAACGTGTACTGAGGGCAAACATCAGGGATATATTTCGTAACCGGTTTGTGTATGTTACGGAGCGCCGACAACTCACAGGGGTGTAGCTCTAAAACTGTGCGACAAAATCTCAGTCTTGTTGAGGATGGTGATAGTTCGAGATAGCTCAGCAGTCAAGACGCCAAATTATTGACCGGAAGGTCCGTGGTTCGAACCCAGATCCTCCTGTCGAGGATTGGACATACTGGCAACATCTCAAGCGTCGTAAAAAAGTGCACATTCCAGTCCAAATTTGAAGCTTTTTCTCATTCAGTTTCTAAATCAGTTTGTCTCATGGCGGCCTTCAAAGATGAGGGGATACTTTGTATCGAATTGACGGTGTGCGTCGTTCATCCAGAGTTTTTTCCGTATCTCTGTGTATGTCGTCAAAGTGTCACAGTTCCGGTGTGGATAACCGCCGAGCTCTCGAATGGCGTGCTGACGTCACCGTCCGGAAAATCAGTTGTTCTGGTTTAGCGGATCCACTGCGTCGACTTTTTCCAGCAATTGATGGCGCACTCCATTTTTCGTGTGCAATCCAGAATAGTTAAAATAGTTCACTAACTTTTCATAAAGTGAACTACTCATAAGGTTGCTGAAAACTCTTCGACTGGTTTCACCCTTCTTGGGGCTCATCAGGTAGGCGCAGTCCCCGAGTTTCCGTCAACTTTATGTTCTATTTGAATTCAAATTGGACTGTTTTTAAGAAATACACTCATTTGCACTCATACACTCATCTCCTGTTCAGGAGCTGCATCGATGGATGGATGTCCTGCGTCGAACTATCACCACTAGGGCGTACTGTACAGCGAGTAACTAGCCTGCCCCATCGACGTTATCAATTCACCGCCGTTGGTCATAAGCTTGTGATGTGTTGGTGGCGCCTCCCGATGGGACACTGTTTGCGTGATCCGCTGGAGTTCGTGCGTCTCTGACTTATTGCTGATCACAATTTTGGGCGCGCTCAAGTTTCTGTGTTGAATCTCAGAGGCCTGGCAACATCACAGATAGAGTGAGCGTTGCAGTGGGTCCTGATGACGGTGCGTCGGCACCAGGACAACAGCAACCAGCCGACCGCACACAGAGTGACCTGAGTTTTTTCCATTTACCTCGCTACGGTGCATCAGTTCAATTCTTGAATATTTCTGGGTTTTTGACGAACTTCAGGCCATGAATATCGAATGATATCCTCAGTCCGCGACTGACGCTTCCTAGACTATTTCGGATATTATGATAATTCCCCGGATACGAAAGTATCACGAAAGGAGGCAAGTTTTACCGCCTGGGTGTGGCGTTTCTTCAAGAAGCTTGAAGGCAGCTGCGTATGAGTTTATATGCTGCCGAAATCGCCTTAGGTCCATTGCTATACATGTTTCGTGACGAACATAGCAGTCTCCAAATAGGTAATGTTTGCGATCGATGTTCCTTCGCGTGCTGGGGAGTGGCTGCATGCTAGAGGGGAGAGAATCCGAGGAATTCCATATATATATCTTTCTTGACGGAACATATTACTTATAATGCTGCTGAAAACTCGTCGGGTACCACACTTTCCTGACGAGTTCTAAGAAGGGTGTGAAACCGGTCGTGAAACCTGTCGAAGGGTTTTTAGCATCCTTATGAACAGTATATTTCGTGAAGTATTTATTGTGCGTAACGCCATTGGCGTACATATTTTTTCGTTGCACTTGTCTTCTTTTCTGGTAGATTCTATCCCACACTCTTCCTGGTTGTATCGGTTCGCTATTGTATCCCTCCATTTGGTAGAATCGGTTCCCTAAGGGGATCGTTCATCATGCAATTTATTCCACGGTACGTTTTTTTTTAAATTTTGGCTTCTCTTTCACGGTGCCAATTTTGTGCTCGCATTCTTTGTTTAGTCCGACTGCCACAACTGAGAAGATTCTACAACTCTCTCAACAACTCAATGGTATTCTTCAAACGTCGGAACAATTGACCACTTCGTTCACCTCGTCCCACGGTAGTTATTCTTTCCCGTATCAATTGAGTGAGACAGGAGAACAGTACTGCGCAAGCCAACCGGATGTGAGCCCAGATTCGAACGGGTATAACGCGGGTCCGCACAGCCCGTATCCTGGTGCACTGGATCAACATATCTCCAAACGTTCGAACACACCGACGTCTACACACAGCGCCACAGCGGGCAGCAGCTATGTTCGTGAACTGGAGGTAGGTCTTTCTTGACAACTAATGGTGGGTCAACGTGGACTGGAGAGGAAGAGACTACGATAGCCTAGGGTTTTCAGACCCAAAGATTACTTCCCGATAGAAGTCCATGGCAGCTGTGTCCAAGAGTATGTTATATAATTGGACGACACTTTTCTTTGAAGAGCCTTCCGGTACAGTGCTCCTTGGTCCAAAACTTGACATTCATCTCCATGCGCTTACTGGTAGTCTATGGTTTGTGCGATTTTGGCGACTAGTGAAGGAATTCGGACCGTTATTCTCACTATTTAAACAATCTATTTACTGTTTCCATAAATGAAACTACTCACAAGGTTGCTGAAAGCTCTCCGACAACCCACGACCGGTTTCGCTCTTCTTGGGGCTCATCAGGTAGGCGCAGTCCCCGAGTTTCCGTCAACCTTATGTTCTACTTGAACCCAAATTGGACTTTTTTTCGAGAACTACACTCATTTGCAAATCAGTTTGGTTTTCACGAGAGACTTAACTGAATCTCTCGTGCCAACTGAAACATGAGGCGGCCTGTGTGCAGCACATTCAGTTGTAGAATATCATAAACGAGAGATTCAGTTGGGTCTCTGGTGAAAACCAAATTATTTGCAAATGAGTGCATTTCCCGAAAACTTATTTATTGCTTTGTGAAGGGGTACGTAGCTGCATAAAATGGTACAGCATAACTGATGTGAAGTAGATAGAACACCCTCAGGATGGATCACCTCTCATCAGGAATCTTGTTGGTGTCCCTCCGTTACGATGGTCTTTCTAGAGGAAGAGAACTGAATTTTCTTTGGATCCACGACTTATCGCACGGCCCCAACTTTGTGTGTGCAATGGATTACATCTTAAATGACAGCCTCCGAATGCAGTTGAGGGGCCGGTCAGGCACTGGATCTCCTCTGTCAACAATCGGGCTGTATTTTAGAATACTGTTCGCTTTCCTTTTAACAGGACCGAAACGTGGAATTGGCTGCCCTCTTGGAGAAACGTGGCCGTGCTCACGAGCGTGCCTTAGCCAAGCTTTCTGCTTTGCAAGAACAGTACGCGAAGGCCACCGCTCAAGCTGCGGCGGACCGTCAAAACTTGGAACAGTCGACCAGTCGAGATCTTGCCAGGTCTCAAGAACAGGTAAGTAGTTCTGCTCCACCCTCTTTATTATTCGTACTACTGCTCTGCCGAGCCGCGTGCTATTCTCAATCCGTTTATCCCACCAGATCCGCGCCCATGCCCAAACAATCGGCGTTTTGGTCGCCGAAAAGACGGAATTGCAAACGAAAGTCAGTCATCTTGAACGCCTGGCCAACGAACGCTCTCATGTAAGTTCTGTTTTTCTCTGTCCCCCTCCTCTATCCCCACACTAACAAACAGATTTGTTTCTCTGCACAAACGGGGACCCTTTCGATGCCTAGCTGGCATGCCACCAGAAGGAAGCACGAGGGCTGGGATACTGCCAGGTTGCCCAAGCCTAGACAGGGGTTTGAACCACAGAGCTTCCGGTATGTATGTTCGCGCTCTAATCACCGGGGTATCTCGTCCCAGAGGACCCAGAAAATAACTCTTTCGGTGCGGGTATCCGCTGTGCACAACTAGTTCCTCCAGTGCTGATGACTTCTTCGTTCAATACTTGCTCAATCGACGGACTTTACTCAGTCCACATGGAGTCCAGTGCCGCACGTGACAGTCACTTAACGCTTGCCTTTGTGTCTGGTTCATGCATATGCAAACAGTCTAAGAGTTTGAAAAATAACACAGTGACGAACATTAATGTTTTCGGGATCTCATCATCAGGTCAGTACATATCTAATGGTTAAAATAAGAGCGAAAAATGAAATACGCTGCGAAGATTGGTTATTGGAATGCAAAACGTGGAGACACGAACGATTGGTTGTCTGCGCCCCCCATGTCGCATCTAGTTGGATGCTGTGAGACAGTGAAGAGGGGTGTTGAGTGACTTGGCCGGTTGATTCGTGTCACACGACCAAGGCAGACTCAGCGTTCGTACGAAACGTTTTTCAGAGCACAGTACCGGGTTTCGCAGGCGTATAACGACTGCCTCGACTGTAGTCAAGCAACGCTGTTGAATAGATACTGGCAGTCTATTTGGCACGCGGTAAATGGTTTGAAATGACTCATTTGGCATAACTACGTGCCCGGTGTCAATTAGGGGTGGGATGCGATTGAGCTCCTGGCTGAACTGTTGAGGTTAGTGGTATTCCGGTAAGAGAGGTGCTCGCGTATTCTCTTAAAAAGTTGCCGTATCGTGCGCCCAACGTACTCCGCTGAACAACAGCAGGAGTTACCTAGGAGTTGACAGTGATATCCTGGTGGATTTATCTGACAATGGGTTACTGCAAACTGCAGTTTGATTGTTTACTATGTAAAAAGAAAGCGTTCAGCTGTAACATCCTTCCGGTGCCTAGCTGCCATGCTACCCGAAGGAAGCACGAGGGCTGGGATACTGCCAGGTTGCCCAAGCCTAGACAGGGGAAGTCGAGTGGCGGAGGTCGGATTCGAACCACGGACCTTCTGGCCAGTAAATTCGGGCTCTAACCACTTGGGCCATCTCGCCCATGTGTATGTATTACATGTATGTATTACATAGACAATGCTCCCGCTGAGGATCTACCATTGGGACATTCCGGCCTCGGTGAGTGACAAGTCTTGACAAAGTTACACGAGAATTTCGAGAACCTCTGGGAGTGATTTTTCAGGTAAACTATTTACTAGTTGTCGGACGAGTTTGCCTTTTGATGGTGTGACTCACGCTGAGGTCATCTAGTTTTGAACTTGACTTTCGGTCGTTGTTTCGGTTCGCCTGAATAGTGTTGTCAACGTCATTGAGGATTGTTTTGCCCTCTTATCAAAATATTCATCCTAGTTGTAACTTGAAATCGATATGGATTAGTGACGCGGATAAGCATTAGCTTGCGTTATCCTCCAGAAGTCATTTGCAGCCTGTGTATTTGTAATGCACTACTCATAAGGTTACTAAAAATTTGCCGACAGCCTAGGACCGGTTTAGCCCATCTTGGGCGAATTAGTTTGCAAATGAGTGTATTTCGCTAATTTCGTGCGATTTGGTTTCAAGTAGAACATAAGTTTGACGCAAACTCGGAGACTGCGCCTACCTGATGAGCCCTAGGAAGACCGAAACCGGTCGTGGGCTGTCGGCGAATTTTCAGCAACTTTATGAGTAGTGCATTACAAACATACATTTATCAAGATATCTCGAATATCGTAGCGACTGAAACATGAGGCGGCCTGGTGCAGCACATTCAGTTGTCTGAGCACATCACAAACGAGAGATTCAGCTGGGTTCCAGGTGAGTCTCTCGAAAAGCCAAATTAGTTTGTAAATGAGTGTATTTCGCTGTTTTGCAACCTGTTTGCCACTCGACGACTGGCTTCCGCTTCAGGCTCTGCCTACCTCTCCAGGAACTGTATCCTAACTGGACTTTAGTCCTACGTTGACAAGATAGAGTTGTACTTGGAATCTCCCTTGGGTTGGCTGATTACTTCCTCGCATCCTGTCTTAAACTGTCCAATCACCGGTACCTTCGTATCGTAGCAGGACTTTGGGGGCGAGATGCCCCAAGTGGTCGGGCGCGAATTTACTGACCGGAAGGTTCGTGGTTCGTATCCGACCTCTGCCTCTCGACTTCTATCTAGGCTCGTGCTTCCTCCGGATGGCATGGCAGCTAGGCACCGGAAGGGTGTTACAGCTGAACGATTGTTATTATTATTATTGTTATTATTATTATTATTATTATTATTATTATTATTATTATTTAGCAGGAGTTTAGCTGGCTGCAGCGCGTCCACAACGGAAGGATGTATTTGGTAACCTATCCCCGTACAATGACGGAAAGCCTTGAAAAATATTCGTTCGTTGTTTTTTCTCTAGTTCTCTCTAAATCGTACCGCAGTTTCTGACATTTCAACTGTGATAAGAACGAATTTTGGCTAGGATTAATCGACCAGACCGAATCCAGTCCAGTCCAGAAGACTTCAACAATGAAGATCATCCTTCACAGAAAGTTCATGGAACGAGGGGAACACCTGGTCAATTAACCTGTCTGATGGACTTGTGCCGTGCCATTGCACATCCCGCGTCGAGATTGTAGGACCGTGAATGTTCCACCGTGACTCCACTATGTGAGGTAGAATTGAGTGGTTTTTGGTCAGTGGTAAACTATTTAACAAAGGCCATCAAGGGTCACAGGCGCAGAACGTGAAATCCGAAAGACGGGGCTAAAAATGTTTCAGAGTTATCTGGTTCATTCTGCTTACTGGTACGTGTCATCTTCAGGCTAGTCATGGCTCTTAGTCACTCCACTACACACGTAACGAACCTCCATATTTCGGAAACTATGCGACAATATTTCATTGCAGCCTGAATCTTTGCTGTATGAACCACCTTGTTTGTGAACCTCACAATTGACTCGATACCACCCTCTCTCTCTCTCTCTGTTTGCTGTTTCTTTCGCTAGGAAATCGAAGTGATCGATGAGCGGTTGCAAACCTATCGGAAACAGTCTATTGATTTGGAGCGGTCTCTGGTTACGTTAAAATCCGATTTGGAAAAGGCCAGTCAGGAATCCGCGGATCTTTCATCACAGGTGCGTTTTATCATCTCATCCGATGCTGGTTTAGATGTCGCACCGATGTCTGAATCAGAGGTTCTCAATGCTCCAAACGGTACATGGAGGGTGATCGTAATTCGAGAACACATTTGTTCCCTTCTGGAAGGACCCCCTTAGACCACTCTTGACTGACCCACTTTAGAACAGATGTGATCTCTCTATAGGGAGCTAACTGCCTATACAAACATGATTTTTCCGGGTTGAGTTGTTGTGTAGAGGGTCGCTGTGTATAGAAAGCAGTCTGGCACTCTGGAATATACAAATACGACTTGTTGTACAGCTGTTCACACTTGTTCATCAGTCGCTGGCCAGTTTTACTCCACAAAGTTGTATGCAAGACATTGTATGAGTGTGGATTGTGAGCATTTTACCAACATCAGGTTTCTTTCGCCAACTATTCACCCACTTGTGAGCAACAGCTCATACAATTTATAGATAATTTTGCCGTTATCTGTGAGTGCACATCACCCTGCTAATTTACTTGTGGCGTCAAAAAGGCATCTCACTGGATCTTAAGGGTCGTGTGTACCAAGCTACAGTAAGGGCTGTGTTGTTGTATTGTATGACATGGCCTCTTTGAGTAGATGATGTGAGGTGTCTTCAGGTTTTCGACCACCGATGCCTCAGAAGCGTGGCTGGTTTCGGATGGCGTCAGCGTATCAGCAACGAGGCGATTAGAAAACGGGTAGTTGGTTGTGCTGCAGGCACTTCAATCCGGGAAAACATCCAGCATCATCGACTACGATGGCTCGGTCATGTG